AGTAAGCCAGGCTAGCCACACCAGGGCCAGCAGTCCAGTAAGCCAGGTTAGCCAACCAATAACCAGAGCAAGAAGTTCAGCGAAGCAGGCAAGCCCCACAAGACAGAGCACTGCAATCTCCGGGCGTCGGTAATTGCACATGAGACTCCACTGATTCAAAACTTGTTCCCGACAAATGCCCCTCCCACCAGCAGATTACATCTCAATCCCCAGGTCTGCCTTGTGGAGGAGGGGGGTGGGGCACTCTCCTTCCTCATAGCCAGCTCAATCTGTGTTGGTCTCGCCTTCTTTCTTCTCTCCGTGCTCTCGGATCAGGAGGGGGTGGTGCTTGCTCTTTGCCTGAGCTCTCTCACTCCTGCTCCTCCCTGTCTAATTCAGTAAATCCTTGCCTGGACTGAGCCTGCCCTTCCCCAGTTTCCTCTCAAGGTCCACGGAGCCGCTCTCTCGATCCCTGTCAGCTCTTGTTCCAGCTCATCTTCCCCCATAGATTCAGACTCCCAACAGTGGCATGACGGTCGCCCTTTGGAGCGGCAATCAGAATGCGGTTGCGTGTGTGTGTGATATGTACAATTATACCTGTGAAAATATAGAACAACGGTAACGCCATTTTTAACCTCTCTGCGAACCTCAGATAATTTACTGGAATATTATGTAAGAATTCTCTGTTGTTTTGTATAAAGGTTATATATTTGGTGGGTCGTGCTGTCCAGTGTCACGTTAATGATGGAGATTACTGGAAATGGAAACGGGTAAACAGGTTAGGGAAACAGGTGGTATGCTGCAATAATAGGGGTGTTGCATAGGGAGATACGTAGCTGGATAGATGGCGAACCCGGAAAGGGGCAGAGACTGTATATTTGAAACGGTATATAAACCCCAACCCTCCTGGGGGAAACGTCTTCTGTGGCCATGAGCGCAGAATTCCCTTTCGCGAAAGCTCCATAATAAAGCTCCTGTTTATTGTTCACGTGTCTCCAGTTGTCTGAGTACTTGGAATGGTTGATTTTTTTTAATCACGGTGCCTGTGTATCTTTTTCGTTTCTTTTCTTTTTCCGGGACTGCAGCACTACCAGAACTTCCAGCTGCTCGGAGCCTGGTGTCTGCTGAACAGCTTGTTCCTCATCTTGAACCTCAGCCCGACCACCCTGGCCGACAAAGGGAAAGAGAAGGACCCCCTGGCAGCCCTTCGGGTCCGGGATATCATTGTGCGGTCCAAAGAGGGCGTCGGGTCTCCCAAACTCGGACCTGGCAAAGGGTAGGTGTGGCCCTGAGCAGGGCAAGTCCTGGTAGGGATGGGTGAGGAATGGGGCTTTCCTTTGCTGTCTCTTCTGCCTTTGAATTTAATTCTTTAATTGTCATTGTATGTTCTGCATATACACAGTGTACGTACAATGAAATTCACACAACACAACAGAGACCAGACCCAACACGCACACACACACACCAATCCCCAAACACCCCCCTCACCCGCCAAAATTCCCCGCCCCCTAAAAACACACAAGCATCCAAACAATAGACCAGGTAGTGCTGTCCAACAACTCGCGGATGGTGGGTCCTTAAGTTCATTGTTAAGTGCAACTATAGCTCTGGGATAAAAACTGCTCAGAAAAACGTTTGGTCCGAGTTTTAATTGTTCTGTACCTTCTGCCAGAAGGCAACAGTTCGCAGAGATTGTGAGCAGGATGGGAAGAGTCTCTGAGAAAGTTATGCGACTTCCTCAAACAGTGAGATGCGAAGATGTCGTCCAGGGCTGGTAGCTGGAGCCCGATAATATTCTGAGCAGTTTTTAATGATTCTCTGTAGAGCCTTTTTTGTCCGCTACAGAGCTGCTCCCATACCATGCAAGGACGCCGTATGTCAGGACACTCTCAATGGTGCTGCGGTAGTAGGACAGAAGTAGAGACTGAGATAGATTTATCCTCCTGGGCAATCTCAGGAAATACAGCCTCTTCTGTGCCGCCTTCACAAGCATGTTAGCATTCATAGTCCATAAGAGGGCCTCCGAGATAGAAGTGCCCAGAAATTTAAAACTACCAACCCTCTCCACCTCCTCGCCAGAATATTATTGAGCTCCAGCTACCAGCCCTGGACGACATCTTCGCATCTCGCTGTTTGAGGAAGTCGCACAACGTTCTCAGAGACTCTAGGTGCCTAGAGATAGTTTTTATGCCAGAGCTATAACGGCACTTAACAATGAACTTAAGGACCACACCCGTTGTGTGTATACTGTGTGTACACGTACAATGACAATAATTCAACGTCCAACCTTTATGTACAATGATAAACGTGCGTCTCTCTCTTCCTCCTGAAGTCAATTATAAGTTCTTTCCTTGGCGCTGGATGTTAAAAGCCGGCTTGGAGAGAGCAGTTTCTTCCTGAGTGGATGCCTGCTCTCTCTCCTTTCCTCACCTGGGTTCCCCCTTCTGCAGGCATCAGGGATTTGGCATCCTCTCCGTGGTCCTGGCCAATCACGCCATTAAGCTCCTCACCCTGCTCTTTCAAGACCTCCACGTGGAGGCCCTCCACAAGGTGAGAGCTTGACGAAGGGGTGGGCGTGGTCCTCAGACTTGGGGGGAAGGGGTTCCAGGTGTCGATTTTTGACTTCCTCTCCTACCCTCCCCGGGTCGGCGGGGGGGGGGGGCGTTTCTCATCCTTCAGGGCTGGGACACCGACGGCCCTCCGGCCGCCTTGAATATCATGGCTCAGAGCACATCCATCCAGAGGATTCAGCGCTTGATCGAGTCGGTGCCGCTCGCCAACCTGCTGCTAACGTTGCTCTCCACGGCTTATCGGAAGGTGGGCGAGGGCCCCAAGGGGGAAAACGACCCTCCCCTTGGTTCTCCCATCGAGAGAAAAGAGAGGCGCCACGGTGGGGCTTGAAGGGGGAAGACATCAAGTGGCTTTTCCTGGCTTGTTCTCCTCGGTGGTGTGAATCTGCCCTGGGCTGCAGGAATGGGCCTTATCACTTGGGCCTGGGACGAACCCCACCCAGGGGAGAAGCAGGGTGGCTGCCCTAGATTAGCAAGGAGGGAGGTTGTTTTTAGGCTCTGCTTTTCTAAGCAGGGGGGGAGGGGAACGTTAAGCCTTGTTCGCCCTCAGGTCTGAGATTTGGGAGCGGCAGGAAGGTTTGGGGGAAGAGGCTCACTGGCCGGGCTTTTGTAACCGCTCCCCCGCCAAACTCCGCTTCCAGGCTTGCGTCCTGCAGAGACAGCGCAAGGGGTCCCTGAGCAGCAACGTCAGCGCCTCCACGGACTCCAACACCTACTATGAAGATGACTTCAGCAGCACGGAAGACAGCAGCCAAGGTTGGGTGGGGGCAGAGGAGGCTTCGGCGGGGAAGTGACGGGGGGTCTGCACTGGAGAGAGGGAGGTGCTCAGGGTGGGTGGGTGGGGGGAAGGCCCCGAGCCCCGTTCCTGGCCCTTCAACCCTCTGACTTGCCCCTTTCTCAGACGATGACAGCGAGCCCATCCTTGGCCAGTGGTTTGAAGAGACCATCTCCCCCAGCAAGGAGAAGGTGGCCCCTCCTCCCCCTCCTCCCCCACCCCCTCTGGAGAGCTCCCCCCGGGTGAAGAGCCCCAACAAGCAGTCGGCAGGAGAAAACGGGAACATCCTGGCCAGTCGCAAAGACCCGGAACTGGTGAGCTCTACCCTGGACTCAAATTCTGTCTGCCTTCCTGCTTTTCTTTCTTTCTTTCTTTCTTTCTTTCTTTCTTTCTTTCTTTCTTTCTTTCTTTCTTTCTTTCTTTCTTTCTTTCTTTCTTTCTTCTCTTTTCTTTCTCCTTCCTTCCTTCCTTCCTTCCTTCCTTCCTT